GTTCGGCACGTCGACGACATTACTGAGGAAAGGAGTGGTACACCCGGAGCGAGAGGATGGAAGAACGGTCGCTGTGTAAAGGAGATTGGCGACCTGACGGGGAGAAAGAACGGGAGAGCGAGAGAAGGGAATGCGCGCGAGCGGGATGGAACGCGCGATGGTGGGTAAGAGTAAGAGAGAAGAGGAGACCACAGAATGTCCGAGGTGCACGGTGCGAGCGAGAGAAAAAGAGGGACTCGGTTCGAGGGACGGTGTTCGTAATCAAAGGGGCAACCCGCGGCGCGGAAGAAAGTCAGCCTCACCGAGCGGCTCATCAGTCCGGCACGGTGCGGTGTCCCGAATGCACGTCGATTTTCCGCCGCGTGTCGTTGCCAAGGTGCCACGTGATTCCGCGCCAACGATCGCCACGCAAGCCACGCGAACGCGTTCGTTCACCGGTGTGGTATAGCCTGCCGACTCCGAAATACTTGGACGCATCCGCGGTAGATCGACAGTCGATGCGAGACGGCGAGATAGAGCGGTTTATTGGGTTCTCGAGAAAATTTTACCGCGAAACGCATGGATATAGATCATTAGAAAAGAGTGCGCAAAAGGATTAGAAAATTCCGGATCGATTTGACACGGAGAGTATTACAATACAAACGAGTGGCAACGAGAGAAATTTATGCAATGCTCGCGAGTGACAGATGAATGGTACGTACTGGATGATAAGCATTTAGAAAATTGCAAGGGAATAAAAGAAATCGTCGTAACATTAAGAATATTAAATCTTTTTCCTTGTCCGATTTTTTTGCCGGTAGTGAACTAAGCTTTGAAGTAAGTGCGGAGCAGCAAAAGTATACATAAGAGAAAAATACGAGACGATAACTGTAAAAAGGATCTAAAGAGATATATACTAAAAAATTACATTAGCATTCAGTTTTTCACGAGGCATATAATATATCTGATATACATGTGACTCGGTATCAAAAGAATGTTCGTTTAATCCATTTAGTGATATTCTATATGCATATATTATATGGCTTCGGGGTATATCGTCATAAAAATATCAAACTATATTGGACATTTTTAATAATTTTAGCTTTAAGTGTCTAATAAAATTTTCATTAAAAATATTAAACTAGCCAAAAGAATAATGACAGTTTTAAAATAATCTTTCTGTCAAACTGAGAAATGAAAGACCGATATATATACCAAATTTTCATCGTAATTAAAAAGATTTCTCGCGAAACCAGTTTCAAAATGTAGGTTTATAGCGGTGTTCTTCATGATTTTTTGCTTGCACGGTACACATTCCTCTGTACATAAATAATTATTCCCAATTTCGTGAAAGTTTCAGCCGTGTGCATATTGCTTCGGGTAGGAAGCGTGCGTTGCAAAAGGAATTATTATGCACGCGCTGAACGTGATTATCCGTCGATCGAAGTATAAAGGAAGAAACGAGCGTTTCAACACCGAGGCGAGAATTTCTCGGATAATACGCGAGCGTGAAAAAGAAAATATTAAAAAATAATATTACTTCAAAGATATTTTCACGAGATAGCGCACCTCATCGCAGTGCACATCGTCAGACTATTTACAACAAAGAGATATAATCGAGGATCTCAAGACGAGATGGACAAAAACGATCTTTTTCAGCGATCGCGCATCTTTCCCGCGATTAAATCGTCTGCTTCGAATAAACACGCGTCTTCCCACGCACGCGTAATCTATAGTATAACGACACATAAATCGCGCGTTATTATATCCCCCTCTTCGGATACGCGCCGCGATGCGTCAAAATTGACTGTCGTTTCAGGAACCAGCTGGTGGTATCCCAGAGGGACGAGAGGGATTTAAGTAATGAATGGAACACGTTGTCAAAATTCACGGAGCGTGTCCCACTGGTTGGCGAGCGCCAACCAGTTGTTGCATAACGCGGCGCATTGCGTTTATATGGCTGGGAAAATGCGGAATTCCGAAGCCGCGTACAATCCCATTTAGAGCGCGAACATTACCGCGCGTAACATTCGCGGAATAATGCGTTCGCGCGTGACTTCTTAGATTCGTGCACGTTGCATCCCCGTTAAGACATTCGCGCTTCCCTCGCGCTTGATTATTTCAATTAGCGTTCAACATCGGTACATTGCAAGACGACGTTGCACGCGAGCGATTCAAGCTTCTACGACATTAACCCCGTCTATCACGGCGGGCCTCACGTGCATCCGACCCATTATATCGAAGGCTTACCGGGTGGTCATAATAATTATAGCTACATGTAAATCCTTTCCCACGCGCCAGCGGATGAAATGTATTAATTAAGAGAGGAAAACGCGATTTATTCGGCTCTCGTCGTATTTCTCTTTTCAATTCTTCCTCGCGGAGTGTCGCTAAAGCTTGTTATACCTCTACGGAATATATTGTCACGCATATAGAATCAAGGATTAAACTGACGTCAACCGCGAAGCCCGATCGGATGTGTTTAGGAATCGCGGTTCA